GTCTGCAGACTGTTCCTATTCCCCCAGAACTGGCTGCATTAGACTACTTAGTAGACAGGTTATACCAGAGGGCAAAGTGCTACCAGACTGTTGTGAGATTAGGTACTTACACTGGTAAAGTGCCCAGATACAATTCCCTGCAAGCCTGCAAAAGGCACAATGTTTTTCTTCCTTGCCACTAAACAAGACCATAGAAACCTTAAACAGGTCCAACAGCATACCTCTCTCCTACCAGACCCAGAGTTGTACATTATTGTCAATGGTAGCCAACCAAGAGTAATGTTTTGTGGCGTAGTTTGTGGATGTGAACCATGTCAGACTGCAATAAGAAAGTTGAGGTCTTGTAAGGGCTCTACAGAGATGTTATGCGAAATGCATTGATGAGAGCACTAAACACATCATTGAGGTCTCTAACAATGCAAACCACAGAAATGTTGAAAAAGGTTTCCCCAGATGAGGTAGATGGGTTTCAGGCCTACACCATTAGAAACCTGGATAGCAAGCTCTCCATTGGTTCAGACTTAGAGCAGTACAGACTTATGAGCATTACAGAAGACCCTATTACCAACAAGCAACAGCATTTAGATGTAATGTGTTTCCCTGTGCTCTTCCCAACTGAGAGTTCCACCCTAGGAAAGAGAAGATTTCTCCCAGTGAGTACCTCAAATCTATGTTGCTTAACAAGGACTCGCGTTTCCGTAAAGATGCACAATATGTGTTTTACCTTTTGTGGCAGAAGGAAATGCGAGAACTTGCATCAGGTGTTTACAATTTGTTAAAGAGTACTAGGAGACAGTCCATGTCTGTTAGCTTGTTACTAGAGCAGGTGAACACCTCAGACGAGCAGCTAGAAGCACGTTTGTGCACAATGCTCCAGTCAGTCCGTGGTACCAAACAGTTCTGGTTCCTCAGACACAGTGAGCTCAAGTGCATGATACGTGAGTGGGGCTCACCTACCCTTTTCCTCACCTTCAGCTGTGCTGAGTATGAGTCCATTGATATCACTGAGTTTCTTAGGAAAGTGAACAATGTTCCTCCCAGTTACAACATTGGGAAGCTGTGTGTTGAGGACCCAATCTCAGTTTCCAGGAAATTTTCCCTCAAGTTCCATGCCTTTTTCCGAAAGGTCATTTTCAAAGGTCAGGTCCTGGGTATTGTGTAGACCACTTTTATTGGAAGAAGGAGTATCAGAATCGTGGGGCTCCTTATTACCATGTCCTACTCTGGATTAGAGATGCACCACTCATTGATAGAGACGATCCCAAGAAGGTGCTAGACTGGATCCAGGATAGAATCACCTGCCACATCCCTGATGAACAGGGTAGCCCTGAGCTGCACAGACTAGTCACCAGGTACCAGATGCACAAGTGCAGCAAGTACTGTAAGAGGCGGAAAAGGTGTGGAAAGACAGCATTCATCACCAGGTGTAGGTTCGGGTTCCCCAGGCCAGTGTGTGAGACTGCTCAGCTCAACCCAGTCCAGGAGAGCCTGAAATCCCGTAACCGAATTTACCAGTTGGTCCGTACTCTGCCTGAAACAAGGGTGAATGACTACAACCCACTGTTATTGATGCTGTGGAAGGCTAATATCACTAAGTACGGTAGTACTTAGTATACAAGTAAATAAAAAATCCTGCGGATTAAAAAAAAGAGGAAGCTCACTGGTGTAGACAAAACTGTGTCCCCATGTGCAAAAAAGGTCAAGGTCAATCCCGCATCCACAAGGGATAATGAGGACTGTGTTATTACAGGTACAGAAAGACCTGCTGCTAGTCCTTTCAATTTCCACTCTGTAGATGTACAGTGGCAGCAAAGTGCATGCCAAGAGCTGGGCCTTCAATATTGTACACAAACACCAGTAAGACCAGGAGGACCCACTGTCCCCCTCACACGTCCAGACATGCGTAGTGTGAGACGCGTACAGGGAGATGGTAACTGCCTCTTTAGAGCATTTCTCTTACATTCTGACAGGGTCTGCGGATCAGCATATGGGTGTACGACATGCTATCCTTGACCACATGACAAATAATGCCCAATATTTCCTAGGCCACCATCTCATAGGCTATGACAGTCACTGGTGGTAGAGGTGTCTGGGAGGTGAGACAGACAACTCATGTTCATAGAGTGCATGTTTGTTTGTAAACGGTTCCGCCCATTGCTCTGTATGGCAGCCACCTGAGTATTATTAACCCTCGGTGTGCATGCGCAGCGAGGGTTACTGTAGTTGGGTTTGTCTGTGTGTGTGTGTGTGTGTCTGTTACTCTACATCTCACCTCTCGAATGTCTGTTCGTCCCAGAAACGATACCATCTACCCAACGGGCGACGAAGGTCAGAAAATATGTGGGGTTTTCTCTGAAAATGCTCCGTTGCAGAGCTAGAGCGCTTCCAGCATTGTATGGCTAATGCCGGTAGTCGCCATTTTATCGCTGGCGGATAATGCGCATGCGCTTATATTTAGCACAGGCTTACCTCGACCGGGTCCGCTTGCTCTGTCTATCTTGAAGGCGCAAGAAGTCACAACGAATGGCGTGTATCGACTCTCGCGTGCTATCTACTACTGTAGCTAACCCGTGTCAGACTCTCTGCGAGCTACTTCTCCAAGGGTTTGCACTTTAGTGCTTTTCATTTTAACTGTGAATTCTGCACCGTTTAATCTAACTTCAGATGCCGTACATGGGTACATACAACTTAATTCGTGTATTGTTTCGTAGCCACATGTTCTTTATTTTTTCGTGTTTATCGTCATATATGCATATGTATTGCTTGTATATTAAACCTGGAACTGTGTGCACGCAGGAGCTGGTGACTTTTCTCTGGGTTCGTCTGTCACCATTCCTGCCGGAACATCGCTTCCCACTGATGGTTCTCATTGTGTGGCAGTGAGCGGAACGGAAGACACCTTATTGGAGGGAGATGAAGCATTTGGGGCTAGAATAAGTGGGACAGACAAAAGTGCCGTCGTTTCTGTTGGAGCATCTGACACTACCACCATTACAATCATTGATAACGATGGTGCGTACGACAGGAATTGTAATTTCGTTTTTCATAAGCACGATAAGTATGTATGATGACTGAGAGTAAGATCAAAGGAATTCCAGCTAGTCCAAACAACGTACACGCGTAGTGAGCGCTTCCTGCTGAGTTTACGGGTAGTTAACCCTCGGCGCGCATGCGCAGCGAGGGTTACAGTACTTGGTCTGTCCGTCTGTCTGTCTGTCTGTCTGTCCGTCCCTCCACGTTTTCTGCCACCACGCGCGACAAACAGGTAAAATAGCGATACGAACGGATTCAGCGCTACACCCGCTTCATTTTTAAAATGGCGATTTCTGTAAAAGTGCCGCTTTCAGAAGTTATGGCATGAAAACCAAGTGAAAAAGCCAATTGCAAATTAGCACAGGTTTACCTCTACCGGGTCCGCTTGCTCTGTGTACCTTGGAGGCACAAGAAGTCACAACGAAGGGCGTTTATCGACTCCCGCATGCTATCTACTACTGTAGCTAGCCCGTGTCAGACTCTTCGCGAGCTACTCCACGAGTAAACGCATACTACAAATAGCCCAGCCATCAATTAGCGGTACCGCGCATGCGCAGTTCGCCGAGGGTTTGCACTTTATCATTATACCATAAAGAGGCCATACGATTTCCCCATACTTTAGCTGTATGTCAACTCATTTGCATAAACCACAGTGGGTATATAGATAGTAGGAAATTGGCAGCGTGTAATGCAATTGGGGGGCTTTTACACTCTTTGTGTGCTGCTGTTTCTTTACCAGAAGGGAGTGTTTTCAGGCTGGAATGGCCAGAAACTGCTCTAGTATATACGCGGTCTGAAAACTAGAGAAAGTTGCTTCCTGGCGCGTAGGCTCCCGTAGACTGGAAAAGTATGTGACTTTCCGCTTTCTTGCTACTGCAACAGGCTGCATTCGAGAGCGCTGGGTATAGCGGGAGAGAAAGCGAACCAGAGCGGCAGCTACAAAACTCGTGTGGAGTCTAGCAGCGAAAAAGTATAGCTTTGACGTACCTGTAACGTTGAACTCTCGAGAAATGACCGTGACTTCTGCACAACCGCCCAACTTGACCAAACTAAAGCGCTTATTGCAGCTGTCTCCGCTCCCGGTCGATCGCGCGCTAGCTCTCTCCGTACACTCGAGGGTGTGCGTTAAAAAGAGGGCGTTTTGAAAGCTTTTGCGCAATCTCATTGGTCAGAGCCTTACCGCCAGATGTCATCATAATACAAACACGTTAAAAAAAATAAAAATACAAACACGTTATACGATGGGCTTTGCTTGTGGTTGCACACTCGTGGCTTCAGTTTTGATAGACCACTTGGGCTACACCCTCATGCCCTATCAAAACTGGCCACTCATGTAAAACCAGTAAACCACGAGCCACCATCATATAACCTATATATACATATATACATCACTAAGTATGGTAGTACTTAGTATAGGGATGACACAGGTTGTCCTGCATTATGCCCATACATTTGAAATTTTCATGGTTCACTTTCTATTTCAATCAGAGACAGAGCAGACTAATTTGTATTGTCACAAAGAGAATGTATCGAAGAAATAGTTTATATCGCATAATCGGTACTTGATTTATTTTCTTGTTGTTGTTGTTGTTGTTGTTGTTCAGTTTCAACAAGTGTATCAGAAAAACCAGGTAAGATATTGAGATCAAACTTTGCACAAAGATTAGAATCCATGACAGGTCATGCAAGAGCATTTTAATTTTAGTGTGGAGTAAAATTTACATGAGCAAGAAATGTCAGTTTGAAGGTATAACAATCATCCCATTGTACTACTGCATCACATGCCCAGGTCATCCCTGTCTTGTCTCCTTGCTTTTTATGTCGTCCCTATATTATTCCACACTTTTTTAATTCGCAGACATTTTTATTTACCTGTATATATATCTAATCAGTACGTATCCACCTTTTAGATGTTTGATTTTTTGTATCGTGCATAAATCTTTCTTTCAGCTGGGGAGGTGGAGGTGGCTGCAGCTTCTACTAGTATAACTGAAGGTGGAGCATCCGGCTCAGTGTGTGTGGTATTGACGGGAACAACTGGCTCTCCTACTGAACTTGCTAATGCACTTGCAGTCTCTGTGGCATCTGTGCTGAATGGCGAAGCAGGTAGGCTCTTACGATAAATTGTGCACCGTTTATTCCAACTTTATATACCGCAATGTGTACATACAACATCATGTATTGTTTCATAGCCACATGTTTTTTTTTATATGCGTATATGCACATGTATTGCATGTATATTAAACATGGAATGTGTGCACGCAGGAGCTGGAGACTTTTCTCTGGGTGCGTCTGTCACCATTCCTGCCGGAACAATGCTTCCAACTGATGGCTCTCATTGTGTGGCAGTGAGCGGAACGGAAGATACCTTATTGGAGGGAGATGAAGCGTTTGGGGCTAGAATCAGTGGGACAGACCAAAGTGCCGTTGTTTCTGTTGGAGCATCAGACACTGCCACCGTTACAATCACTGAGAACGATGGTGCGTACGACAGGAATTGTAGTTCCGTATGTTTGAAAAGCGCCACAAGTATATATGTAATCAGTACGTATCCACCTTTTAGATGTTTGATTTTTTTGTATCGTCCACAAATCCTTCTTTCAGCTGGGGAGGTTGAGGTGGCTGCAGCTTCTGTGGGTATCACTGAAGATGGAGCAGCCGGCTCAGTGTGTGTGGTATTGACCGGAACGACTGGCTCTCCTACTGAACTTGCTAATGCACTTGCAGTCTCTGTCGTATCTGTGCTTAATGCCGAAGCAGGTAGGCTCACAATCATGTTAACAGTCAATTCTGCATTGTTTTCCAACATGACATCCGTACATGGGTATATTCTACTAACCATTTGTGTGTTATTTTGTATCCAAATGTGTCCATTTTTTTTTTATTATGCATGTTTATAATGATGTATGCATATGTACTGCGTGTATATTAAACCTGGAACTGTGTGCACGCAGGAGCTGGTGAATTTTCTCTGGGTTCGTCGGTCACCATTCCTGCCGGAACAACACTTCCGACTGATGGCTCTCATTGTGTGACAGTGAGCGGAATGGAAGATACCTTGTTGGAGGGAGATGAAGCGTTTGGGGCTAGAATCAGTGGGACAGACCAAACTTCTGTCGTTTCTGTTGGAGCATCAGACACTACCACCGTTACAATCACTGATAACGAAGGTGCGCATGACTGGAAAATGTAGTGCCGTATGTGTGATAAGTGCCACGCTCATATATTTACCTATAATAATCAGTACGCACTTACTTTTTATATTTGAGAAGTTCGGTATTTTGCATAAAACTTTATTTCAGCTGCTGAAGTTGATGTGGCTGCATCTTCTGTAAGTATCACTGAAGGTGGAGCAGCCGGCTCCGTGTGTGTTGTATTGACGGGAACAACTGGCTCTCCTACTGAACTTGTTAATGCACTTGCAGTCTCTGTGACATCTTTGCTTAATGCTGAAGCAGGTAGGCTCCAAATCATAAGTTAACAGTCAATTCTTCATTGTTTTTTCAAATTTGACGTACTGTGCATGGGTACATACATCTTTATTCGTGTATTGTTTCGTAGCCACATATTCTTTTTTTTTAATGCTTGTTTATCGTCATATATTGCTTGTATGATAAACCTGGTACTGTGTGCATGCAGGAGCTGGTGACTTTTCTCTGGGTCCCTCTGTCACCATTCCTGCCGGAACAACGCTTCCGACTGATGGTTCTCATTGTGTGGCAGTGAGCGGAACGGAAGATACCTTCTTGGAGGGAGATGAAGTGTTTGGGGCTAGAATCAGTGGTACAGACCAAAATGCCGTCGTTTCTGTTGGAGCATCAGACACTGCCACCGTTACAATCACTGATAACGATGGTGCGTATGACAGGAATTGTAGTTCCGTATATTTGATAAGAGCCACAAGTATGTATGTACATGTAATTATCAGTACATATCCACCTTTTCATGAGGCGCTGTCTGTCTCAATATTTTGCAAATAGCTGTTTTTGATACCCCGCGCGTCATTTGTAAAATCCGCGCTGGTTATACTAATCCCTTCCGGATTATACATACCCCGGACTGGATATAGCATATCCCGCACTGGATATATAAATCCTGCACTAGTTAATGTACGGAAGTCAGTGCTGTGCGCGTAATAATGGTACGAGGGGCGTTGTCGAGATATCATACGGCACGAGGCGCAGCCGAGTTGCTGTATGATCTATCGAGACCACGTTCCGAGTACCATTATCACGCGCACAGCACGTGCTTCCGTACATTAAGTTATTTATTGTATGCGTGGGCGATTCAAAAGGCGGCGACCAGGAAAACCGCCCTTCCAGCAGCGGTTTGTATTACCGTCTGAGTCGAACTCCGTCTACGAAAGGCCGCCGAGGGCGTCATTCCCGCAAAGCGTACGCTAGTCCGCAGATATAGTTCAAAAGGCGGCGGCCAGGAAAATCGGTTTCAGAACGAAAGAGAGGACTAGAAGCTCGCGGAGCACCCTTCCAGCAGCTGTTTGTGTCACCGTCTGAGTCGAATTCCGTCTAATAAAAGGCCGCCGAGGGCGTCGTTCCCGCAAAGCGTACGCTAGTCCGCGGATATAGCACAGTGCGTGTGATATAGTACAGTTCCGCGCGATATAATTCAAAAACTGTTCTGTATGATGAATATATAGTACTGGCGGCGCCTTTGATTCGCCCACGCAAAATACAATAAATGGCATATCCCGCACCGGATAAATCCTGCACTGGATATAAATACCACACTGGATATATAAATCCTGCACAGGATATATGAACCCTGCTGGCCCCACAATAACGCATCCTGGATATCCGTATTCCAAACGTCACAAAATCAAAGAAGACGTCACAGTATTTCCGGACTCTTCGCTAATTTCCGTACGAAGATTGTACGCTAGGGCGTCGGAAAGAGCACCGACGTTGATCGTAACTGCGTTCGTGTCGGACGTGGGCGGGTTAGACATGGCAGGAAATAGTCCAACAACTACTAATGGCATAGCATGTGAACAGAACGGCCGCACCTCTGTGCAGGATCTAGGAGCAGAAGCAGTGCTGCTGCAAACACGTGCTGTGCACCTCAAAAGCTCAAAGGTTAGTCGTCGCTTGCACGCATGCGCGTCGGTTTTAGAGTTCGTGACGTACTTCTCCAATGTGTGACGTTTCAGGTATTCTCAGGACATGAGAAGATGCTTTTTGTTGAGGTTTGTAGAACACTAGCAGGACTTATATCCAGTGCAGGATTAACATATCCAGTGCGGGATATGCTATATCCAGTCCGGGGTATGTATAATCCGGAAGGGATTTGTATAACCGGCGCGGATTTTACAAATGACGCGCGGGATATCAAAAACAGCTATTTGCTAAATTTTGAGACAGACGGCGCCCCATACCTTTTTCATTTTTGAATTTATGTATCGTGGGTAAATCGTTTCAGCTGGGGAGGTTGAGGTGGCTGCAGCCAC